GCACGCCCGCGCCACGCGAATCCCTTGACGAGGTCGAGAGTGCCGCAGCCACAGCCCGTCCGCGCGCGCGGACTCACCCGCGAGGTCGAGAGTACTCTTTTTCCTCGCGCCACACCGAGCCTTGCCACGTGCCGCCCCGCGCCGTCCGTGCCCGCGACTCGGGAAACCGCCCGCGACCTCGAGAGTATCTTAGTAAATGTGCGTGTTTTTAGTGTGTGTTTGAGGTGTAACTATAAATAGACATTGTGCTTTGTATTTTTAAAAACAACCCTCATTTCCCAACTTTTGAGTTGGGAAATCCTCTCTATTTTCTCTCTTCTCTCTCTTTGTTTTTATGCTTTGGTTGAGAGGTCCATGACTCTATTTTTCCGGCAAAATTCCGGCAAGTTTATTTTCATCCAAGTTTCGTGCTTTATTCACTATTTTCGTTCGGGCACGCGATAGGAGAGTAAGTACCTTACTTAGGACTTACTACTTCGAGTTTGTTCTTTCGATTTTGTGTTTATCCTCGTTTCTAGGGTTTTGATTTATTTTTATTGCTTGCTTTTGTGTGTTAGGAATCAATACGTGCTTATCTAGTATAAAGGTCTCGACTTTGTTTAAAGCGTGATGATTTAGTGTAGAAAGCTCGTGTTAGACTACCTAGGATCACTATGCTCGCATGTTTTCTCTTGTTTTCTTTTATTTTCTTGAGTTATGGAGATTCCGTAAAACCAATGCTTTGACAATTCCTTCGATTCTTGCATTTTCATCATTTGCTCTAGATTTTTAGTGTAATTGCGTGCAAATCACCCACAATCAAGCGAGTAGAATGTTTAGGACCTTCTTTTTGGTTATGTGACTTTGACGACTAGGTAGTAAACGAAGCTCCGAACAGCCTTCCTTTGAGAACGACCCGAGTCGGGTAGCTCGGTTACCACATGCCCAAAAATACTACAAACACAAGGTAAATTCGTTTCGCTATAAGATGATTCACTTACATATTCTCTAGCTCATTTACTTATGCACTTGACAGAATCTTAAATTCTTGACTATTTTGTTCATTTTCTCGAGAGACCCATCATAGTTGTTGATTAGCAAAGTCTCGCTGATGCCCTCGACTAGGGAGATGTTGTCGACGACTACTTGGATGTATTTCGGTCGGTTGTGAACATACAACACAATGGTTATGTGATTCATGGGTAGAGAAGGATACAAATCCAAGTTCCTTGTTGGAGTTGATTTCGTTTTTCGATTGAAATCAATATTTTGGTCTGTTTGAGGAGCTTCAAGTTCTTTTTGTTGGAAACACTTATAAGGGATCCTAGGCTTTCTCTTCCATAGGTGGTTCTATCTACTGGCTAAATCTATAAATGTGTTTGTCGTCATTCCTTAAACACAAGACTTGCAAAGCAACACCAAACACACCAATCACAATCCAACGGCATATAGACAT